AGAGCTTCACAGTAATGGAAAGCAGACAAGCAAGGGGTTTTGTTTGCTTTTTTTTAACAGATAAGACTGGAGTATAGTGAATACAGCAGGAAGGTCCAGAGTAGGACTGGGAGCCGCAGAAAGGGCCTGGTAGTGAGGACCCTCACCATCCTGGGGGCTTGTGGGTTTCCTTTTTCAATTTAACTTCCAGGGTTTGATTTCTCCTCTCCTGCTGCACTCTGTGGCCTTATGTGCAAAAAGGAAATGCACTTTAAATCCCAGCTTCTGCCCCTCTGAACCTCTTCTTTGTAATGCCCATACTCTCTTGCCCTAGCAGCTAGGGTGACTTGTGTCTTCCTTCTGTGCCAGCTTTTATACAGCCCTTGCTTCATACCTCTGGCCTGGGGGCCAGGCCAGGTGGTGCTCCCTGAAAGGCCTGGCGTCACGGGTCCAGCCCTGACCCCACGATCTGCATACCCTCCTGTGGTATTTGTTCACAGATGCCATTGAACCTGGAAAGCATGGGACACAGCTTCTGAGTTTGAAAGTTGCCTGGTTATGACCTAGCCTCTGAGCCCCACCTGACTGTGCCCTGTCCAGAGTGTCCTCCAGGCTCCCCTTCCCCCTCACCATTGTACCCAAGTCAGTGCTGGCCCCACGTGGCTCCAGCAGGCTGGTCTCCGGGAGATTGGTGTTTGCTTGGGTCAGTCCCCTTGCTAGCTCTCAGGCACAGAGACATCGGGAGGACAAGGGAATGACGTCTGGAGTCTGGGCTGTGCTCTCAGAGGGCAGGTGGACGACCTACATGAAGAGGCAGCTACCAGGTGCGTCTGCTGAGCTGTGGGCAGCTGTTGGCAACAGTGCTGAGGCCTCTGTCCTGCCCAGACCCCTCAAAAGTAGGGAAGAGTCAGGCTCAGCCACCAGAGTACCCCCAACTGCCCTTCTGCCAGCCTGGACAGCCTCTGGCCTGGAAGTTTCCATTGCTCACAAGGTAGTGGACACACAGTTTTTATATATGCCTACTTTTGTGGTGTGTGTGTCTTTCTCTCCATCACCACTGCTTTTCATTTACAATGTTATCTCCCCCCACCGCGCCCATCCTTCGTGCCCCCCCAGGGGGAGAAGGGAGGCCCAGCCTCACCCTGGTGTAGTCAAGGTTATGGTGATAAATCCTGGGGCATTGTCACTTCTATTCGGAGTAAATTGGCTGGCCGCTTTCGGGCTGAAGGAAAGATAATTTGCTGTAGTATTTCAAATGGATTAGAAATGGATTTGAAGGGAAAGTTCATGCCTCCCATTACAAAGGCGAGAAAGAAGACTATCTTAAGGCACTGTTCCCTCCCTGGCCTTCATTATCCACGCTTAATACCTTTCCTATTTTCCAGCGTTAATGAAATTTCCTGGCGGCATGGGCCTGCCGGACGGATGGGAGAAGCCTTTAGATCTGCGGCTCCCGTTGCAGAAAAGGAATTACAGAGCTGTGCCGTGAGGGCAGGCGCTCACAGGGTCCTTGGCCCCGCTATTATCTCATTAATTTTATCCCCTCTTCTCTGTACAGTTCGTTTCCAAAGGCTGTCCTCTCCATTAGGGTAACAATTTACTGAAGTGCTGTGACACCAACGGCAGTGAAAAGCTACAAGGCCCTGCTTAGCACTCTCCTGCTTCAGGTTCCAAAGCCAGCAGGCTGGCACACAGGGAAGAGGGAGATGGATGATTTGGAGATAGACCCTTCCCCTGACCCCAAGGGTCTGGCTAGGTCTCCCCAAGTTCTCACCCATATCAGCATCCCAAATGCAGCTTCCCCACACAGGCTCCTGGGTGAGCGAGGTAGCGAGTAGCATCTTTTCCTGTAGCCTGGAGGAGGCTCCACAAGCATGTGTGTGTATAGTCTGACAAGGGCAGAGGGGCTTCTATACCTCCATCCTGCCCAAGTAGATCCACCAATGCCCCATGGTTGCTATCAAAATCCAATGAATTTTTTTTTTTGGGGGGGGGAAGGGGACAGATTGATTGTTTTGTTGGTGATCATCCATGAGAATAAACACATGGATAAATAAGTAAGGCTGTCTAGAAAAGAATCGTAACCCAAGAGAAGCCCTCCAGCTCCGAAGTGCAATCTGAACAGCAGTCCTTAATGAAGTTGGCTTCTCCACTGGAGGTGTAGGCCCAGGAATGGCGGGACCCTTAACAACCCATAGCTCTTCATGCACAGAACCAAGGGGCTGCAGGTCTCTTGGGCAGGGACCCTCGAAAGTGAAGTGGAGGAGTTCCATAGTCCTAGCAGCCAGCCCTGGCTGGCTGTGTGGCTGCATCATGTCGCTTTAACCTGTGGCTACCCCTGGGGAGGGCCGGGTGGAGCAGGCATCACAAACCAATCCCCAGGACAACCTGGGAGGAAGGTCAGAGGGCACATTCCCACAGGTGAGTTCTTGCAGGGCAGGGCCCAGGATGCAGTTGAGCAGAGGTCTAGTTGCCTGCTGTCCCTCATACTAGTGGCCAGGGACATACAAAGCCATGCTTTGGGCAAAGATAGGGCCCTTAGGAGGGGTGTTGTGAGGCAGGGCTGTATGGACCCCAGGCAGGGCTCATGAGGCAGAGACTGAACTGGCCTTGGTGGGAGGACCAGACTATCTTCTAGCCTGTCATAGGATGGCCAGAGGTTGGGTGAGGGGGCAGTGCTGTGGGGTGGTACTTTCTGGTCACAAACTCCCTCACTCTTCCAATACTGCTCTTACCCCAGGCTGGTGGACACAGGGGCAGATGCCTTATGGGCATCAAGGGGCCCTGGGTAGTTCCATGGCCTACTGGCCTCAGGCTGAGCCAACTGTAGTGGCTGCTGCCTTGGGCTCAGTTCCTGTCTGGGGATTTGGGGTCAGGCCGAGCATCCCTCTTGCAGTGGCCACAGCTCCTTTAGAGGGTTGGGACCCACCTCTGAGCCTCTAGGACTGAGATGGTTCTTCAGGTGAGGGGCTGGCATGGGAGAGGACCCCTCTGCTCTGGTCTGCCTCACACCTTGGTCTGGCCCCAGTGCAGTTGAGGGTGCAAGGCAAGTGTCCATTGGGCAGAAGATTCCCTGGAGGCCTAAGGTCTGTGGAGAGCCTGCAAGTCCAAGTTTGACTGTGTTTCCCCTGAGGGGCACACAGTGATAGAATGCCCCTCTCCTGCCCAGATGGTGTCCTGTGGGGGCACACTGAAGTGTGTAATGGGTAGAGCAGTGGCCAGGCAGATCACTACAGCCCAATCCCTTGGCAGGACTCTTTCTCTCCAAGATTGGTATTTGTGAACTTGAATTTTAATTAAGGGAAACTGGGTTAAGTGCCTTCTGTGGCCTCCTCGCCGTGCTTACACTTACACTGCAGCTTTGGTCCTCTGAGCACCTGGCTCACTTTTCTCACATTATCTCGCTAATGGGCCTTCAGAGGCCACTGGCTGGCAAGAGTTATCCCAGCTTGCAGGTGGAGAGACAGAGTCCCACAGGGGCAGCGGTGCTGAGTGCTGGAGACAATGGCTGTGTCTCAGTGCAGAGATGCTCCCTTCCCCAGCATCTCCATTTCTGTGTGGCAGGGCTGGCTGTGATTGGCGGTGCTGCAGGTGCCATGACCAGGCACCCATGACCCTTGCCCCTTCCAACCAAGCAAGTAATTTCCTCTACCTGCTGTTATTGGGCAACCCTGGGCTGGGGGACCCCTCCTTGACCCTGGCTGGCTGGGGAAGGGTCTCTTACAGCTGCATACTCCCGGGAGGAGCCTCATTTCTATCATTGCTTCCCTAAGAGCTGGACCTGAGTGCACTGCAGGGCCATCAGGGCCAGTGGGGGTGTACTGGAGGACCCAGAAGAGAGGGGGCACAGCCCTGTGCCAGGCTGGATCAGCCGCTCTCACCTCCCACTTGAACTGTCCTTTTACTTTCACCATGGACTCTGCTGATGGACAGCTGGCACCTGGTGCTCAGATTGCCAGTGGGGGGCAGTATATGCATTCATGAGCAGAGTCTGAGCAAATGTGAAATTATGCTTGATTTGCATAAACAAATCACTGCCGAAATGCATCCTGAGGGCTGTCTTCATGCTGGGTCCCCTGGGTTCACCTGGCTGTGGCATGCTGAGCCCCCTCCTCAGGGACAGCCTGCGTGGGTCCCAGGTGGGCAGGGGCTGTTGTGTTGGTGGGGCAGCTGCAGAGGCCTTTTCCTTGAGTAGTGGCAACATCAGGTCTCTTCCCTGGCTTGGGCTGTGCTTGGGCTTTCCTGGGGAGCATGGAGTATCAGGCATGATGGTGCCCGAGAGTAGAGAAGAAATTAGGGAGTGGTAGAGAGGCCACTGGGCCTCAAGTTCCACCTGATCAGGACTGTTCTCCTGGCCACTAATCCGATAGCTGGCCCAGTTGACCTCTAGGCACCCCTAGCATTTCCCCCAAACAGTTGACCTGGGAGGGGCCTGTGGGCTACCTCTGCAGGCTCTCAGTGCAGGCCTCTGAGCAGTAGGTAAAGGGAAGGGCAGGATGAGTGGTGGCCCCACGATGTCTCCTGTCCTAAGGGTGGTGTGTCTGGGGCAGCACTTGAGAGATGGCCACCAGCTGTGGCAGAGACCCAAGTGGTACCTTCTGGAGGTGCCAGTGGGCCAGGACCCAGCACTGCTTCACAAGAGGCAGGCTGCCAAGCAACTACCCTCCCCTGTGTCCAGGGAGCTATCTCCCACAGTACACTGCCAGTGGGCCAGGCCAGGCAATTGTGTCTAAGGGCAGCATGTGTGTTGGAAGAGGAGTCTGTTCCCTCCTCATGACTCTGGGAATTCATGAGTTCCTAGTTAGATTGGGCAACACCACCCCTGGAACTCCTTGTCAGCATTCCCTGTTGACTGCCATAGAAGTGTCCCTATAGCAAAGGGGCAAGGGATGGAGACTCCTGGCAGCTGACCTGATAGCCCAGGCAGCAAGCACTTCAGTCTATGCTCTACCCCTGGTGCTGAGCACCCAAGCTCCAGCCTGTCCCTGGCCACTCTGATGGGTGTTTTGCTGTATCTGCAGGTCCCTGGTACTGAACTGCCTGCGTCCGGCCGTCAACGGGGGTGGGAAAGCCCCACCTGGCTCCCCTCGGTGGAGGAGCAAAGGCTACCGCTGCATTGGAGGGGTTCTCTACAAGGTGTCGGCCAACAAGCTCTCTAAGACCTCCAGCCGGCCTGGTGATGGCAGCAGGACCCTCCTCCGCACAGGTGAGGTGGGGATGCTGAAGAGCATGTGATGGGCACTGCAGGCTAGTATGTCTCAGCTTCTTTGGGCCTTGGCTCTAGGTCTTTCTTCTCCTAGCCTGGACACAGCCCTGAGTCGGGGATAAGGTCAGGGGCCTGGAGTTCCTAGGGAGCTGATCCAAATGAGTGCTTCCCAGAGAGCCACATCCCAACCTGGGAAATTTCTTCTCAGACACATGCAGAGCCTTGGTAGCTGTCTGTAATGAGACCAGTGGGGCAGCCACTGTTGGGAGTCCTCACAGCCCTGCTCTCCCCTGGGAAAGCCTGAGTGGCGCCTGCCTCTCACTCGGCTGAGAAGCCCCTGATTTTCCTTGGGGAGGAGGGCACACACGAGGGTCTGTGTTTTGCTCTTGGACAAAGGATAAGCCAGGTATGGTAAACACGCCTGGGCGAGCTAACACCTGGGGCTGCGGTACCCCTAATCGCATTGGCTATGCCTCACCAACTGTGTCTGGAGGCAGACGCCACTGCTGCCCCTGCAAGACCCTGCAGCCGGGGAGCAGGCTGAGAAGAAGGAAATGCTTTGGATGTGCTTATTGTACAAATTAACTAGAAAAATATTTTGTTTTCAGTCCAATTTTACCCCCTTCCTTGTCCATCAAAAAGAAGGGCAAGATTGCGGGTTTTTATGGGATTACTGAAGCCCAGCTGCACACAACGTCCCTATACACCTGCCAGAGGGGCTTGAGGGAGAAGCGGTCACTATGGGAGGAGGTGGTACCCAGGCCAAGTCTGAGGGAACACCTTTCTCCAGAAGCCAGCCCCTCCATGCCCTGTCTGGCTGTGCTCCCACGGCCTGTGGGGGCACAGGGTCTTCTAGCTACTATTTTCGAGGCAGGGTGCATCCTGGGAGAAACCTGACAAACTCGCTTGAGGACCCTGGGAGTAGCCCTTGTTGCCTTGAAGTACCCTTTCTGGTCACTTCTGATATCAGAGCCATGCCCATCAGGAAGTGACCTACTGGCTGATACCACCCACTGACTGCCATGTGGCCACAGCTTCTACCAACACTGGACCAGTATGTTTAATTGCCAGGGCTCTTCTAGACTCTTCCCCAAGGCCCTGTCCTTAGGCCCCAGCACCATCCTCCTATAGCTGGATCCTGGTGCCCACATGTATTGGACTGGGTGGGTCTGTGGGGTTGGGCTGCACCTGCCACCTTCGCACCTCACATCCCCTATATCCAGGGCATAGATGGTAAGAGACACAAATGGTGGCAGGATAAGTGGCAAGTTTATACTTGACCTCCTCATAGACATGGTGCCCCCTACTGGGAGATAGCCAGGTCTGAACTCCAGGGAGAGCCAGGCTGCAGCCCTGAGGCTGGTGGTGGTGGAGCACAGAGCAATGCGGGCAGGGCTGTCACTCCTTACAGGGAAGTGGCCTCTCTGTTCCTGGGACCCTGCAGCCAAGTGCTAAGCTCTGCAGAATCTGCCTTCCTGTTTCACATGTAGCACATGGTGGCTTCTGACGCCACCATGCTATGGACAGTCTGTCCCAGCCAAACTTGTTCACTGGCCCTGGCCCCTACCCTCCCCTTTCCTTGCCCTAGAGCTGGCTGAGAGACAGTCTCTGTGCACATTGCATCCCTGCCCTGGCAGCCACCCAGAGCCTGCCTCTGTTCAGCTCAGCTGTGCAAGGGAGTGCCTAGAGTGGGGCCTTCTTTCCACTGGCCTGCCCCTGCCCTTCTGCCAAGCAAGGCTACAGCTGCCTATGTTCTGCCGAACATCCTTGGCAGCCGCTGGGCCTTGGTTTGGGCAGGGGTGTGGGGTATGTGGGCAGAGGCAGGTCTGTCGAGGCCACACAATTTCTTCCGAGGGCAAGGGCAGGTGATAGGTGATCTGGACTCCCATAGGACCACACCGCATATGACGGTCATTCCTAGTTGTGGGGTGTTGCCGACTGGCTCACTTAGATAACTAAAGAGATAAGTTTCTTCCCTGGGTATGAGCAAAACGTTGACTTCAACAAGAAAGGGTAGCATTCCTTGGAGGGACAGGGCTCCACCTCCTCCACTGGCTGCCCTCTGGGCCCTCGAGGACAGAGTTAGCATCTGTCCTAGCCTCTCTGGGTCATGCCCCCAGGTCTACCTGCCACCAAAAGAGCCCAACCCCTGGACTTTTGCTCTCATACTTTGGCATGGGACCTGTCTCCTCAAGCTGGCTGGCTTGTACTGTGACCATCAATTGCTTGACAGTCCCTGCAGTGGGGTAGACATCATAAGTTGTCCAGCAGAAGTGCTGGTCCCAGTCTCAGGCTACAGGGCTGGCTTTTGTCTCTTCTGAGCCCCCACAGCTGAGACAGGTTGTGGTTGCTAACCAGCCCCCATATGTTCCTGGGCTGGTTGGTTCTTTGTGGCTCCAATTCTCATCTTTACTCTGCCTGCTCCTCCCTGGGTGCCGTGAGGTCACACAGAAGGGCATGTGAGAGAGACCCTGTCAGCTGCCCTATCAGAGCCAGAGACACTTGGTCACCCGGGCTCCACCCCTGTTGCCTCTCCCTAGGGCTCCCTCTGCTATTCCATTCCTTCTCCTAAGGGTGCAGCAAGATGTGCCTTTGCCCAGGGCCTGGGACAGCCTCTCTTCTGACCTCCTGAGCAGGCAGGCCAGCTCTGCACAGTGGGGCTAGGAATGGACACCTGAGCTCACCTGCTTGTTTCCCAGGCTGAGCAGGTAGCTGCCACCCATAGTGTACTCTAGTCAGAGTGAGAGCCAGGTCCTGAGGAGGCTCTGACCTGTGTGAGGCATCTGCCTCTGGGAGTCTGATGCCCAGTGGCTCCCTCAGAGGACCATTGGGCAGGTGGCAGGGAACAGACGGGGCACTAGGCAGGGGGGGTGGGGCTGAGGGAGCCAGTGTCTATTTTGGGACGATCCACTCCCCCCATTTCCCCACCCCAGCCCCGGGAAGTGGAAGTGCTCCAGAGAATGCAGCACAGGCGGCACCTTGTGCTGAGGTGAGGTCGGGACTGTACGATTGAGCTTTTTGCACCTCCAGTTCCTCTTTTCAAGCCAGCTATTTTATGTGCATTTTTAACACTGCAAAAAGCATTTGGAAAGGTACCTCCCCTTCTTGTCAAAACTCCCACCGTGAGCCCCATGCTGTCAGTATTTTAAAAGCAGAAAGTGGAAAGAGGAAAAAACTGTCCCCACCTCCCAGGGCCTGACAGGCAGCACGTGACACCCACATGTCCCTGGCCAGGAGCAGATGGCGCCAGTGTCGCCCGCAGCCTGGGCGACAGCCTGGGAACCAGTGCTCACTGATCGGCTATCATGTTGCATGTCCCTCACTGGGAAGGCTGGCAGGTGCGAGGGCACATCCATGCCACCTGGACAGGGCTCTGTTGCCACCCTATGGACAAGTGTCCCTGGCTGAGAACAGAGGCTAGCCTGGGCCCCCTCACTGCCCCACCCTCGGCATGCTCCTTTTACCCATGTCAACTCTTATCCCCCATGTCCCTGTTGATGCCCTCAGTGCCCCATCCCTACCCGAGGCACCATTCCCAGCCTCCACACATGCCCCAGCCTCCTGGGCCCAGGCCTGGGCTACCTTGCAGCAGAGCCCCTCTCTCCTGCTGGAGGCCTTGCTGCCTAGGCCTGGAAATGTCATTTTTAAACTTGAGGACACTGAGACTGAGCATGGGGCAGCCACCAGCCAGAGAGACCCGTGGAGCTCCAGCAGGGCAGTGTTCAGCCTCCCAGCTTGTCCAGGGATATGCCATGGAGTCCTCTGCAGCAGGCAGGCGCTGCCTGATAGGCCTGGTCCTGTGCTGAGCCCTGTGTCTGTGAAGTGTCAGGGTGCAGCATACCCCTCACCCCTGCCCAGAGAGAGCATGGGGAGAGGTTGGCTGGGAGCTCTCGAGATCAAGTAGCTACTAGATGCCTAGGGAGGAGGGCCTGAGGTTCCAACGTGTGGGGTGTGAAGGTGTCGGGTTTTGGACAGGCCATGGACTGTCAGGGCCTGGGTAGAGGACTTGGGGAATGGGCATCCAGGGATCATGAGGAAGGAGCATTGCTTAAGGCAGAGTCCCCCAAACCCATGCTAGTGCTCTTGTGGAGAAGCTGTATGGGTCCAGGCATTTTAGAACATCCCTTTTCTAAACCTGAATGGCTTTGTCATTGCCTCAGGTCCTCAGAATTTCTGAGTGATGTCACTTCTGCCTCTTAGCGCCGTATTCATTTCAGCAGCTGCCCTGTAGGAAATTGGATCTGGTCTGGGAAGGGTCATGTGCGTATTTGAGGAACCCGGGGAAGCCGTCCTAAGCAGGCCCTGCCCAGCCCACCCGTGACCCTGGGGCTAGCCTGTGCCTTTAAAAGGCAGCCAAACTACATGGGGGCCTGGACTTCCCTGTGGGCACCCCTCTCTCCTCACTTAGGGAGCCCCCTGTTTCTGTCCCCACTGTCCTCTTCATACGACATTGACAACCTTACAAAGGCTGGGTTGGTGTTCTGCTTGGATTGTTAGGAACTGTCTGATAAGGCACAGGTAATGGCACAGGCCAGGTGGGACGCCCTTGTCCACAAGGCCACCCAGAGCCCCAGCCTGCATTCTCATGCTTTGCTACCACACACTCCTCTGTTGGAGATTTTTATCTTGTTGTTTTATAGTCTCTCCCTTCCTTCCTTCCTCCCTCCCTCCCTCCCTTCCTTCCCTTTCTCTCTTTCTCAGTAGTGCCCTGCCACTTGAGCCATGCCCCCAGCCCTTTTATTTGTATTTTTTTCCTCTTTGTATTACTAGAGTTTGGCTTTGTGCTTGTGAGGCAGGTGCTCTACCATTTGATCCATGCTTCTGGCCCTGGTTATTTTGGAGATAGGGTCTTGCTTTTTTTTTTTTTTTTTTTTTAAACCCAGGCCAACCTGGATCATGATTCTCCTATTTATGCTTCCTGCTGTCACTGGGATGATGGGCATGCACCACTATGCCCACCTTTTTTCCACAGAGATGGGGTCTTCCAACCTTTTTTGCCTAGGCCAGCATGGAACTGTAATCCTGATCTTAGCCTTAAAAGTAGCTAGGATTACAGGTGTGAGCCATCAGCATCCAGCTTGTATTTTTGTTTTTGAGATAGGGTCTCACTAATTGTGCCCTGGATGAGGCTGACCTTAAACTTTTGCCTCTGATCTCCTGAGTAGCTGAGATTACAGATGTGGTCCACCATACCTAGCTGTTTTACAATCCTTTAAAAGTGTAAAAGCCATTCTTCCTCCTACACAACTAGTTCACATATGGCCTGCGTTCCCCTCTCTAGTCTTTCTGGGCTCTGGCAGAGGAGGTGTAACCACTGGTGTCTACACCATTTGCAAGGCAGCCTCTTCTGTGGCCAGGCAAGAGACGGAGCCTGAGAGATGCCCATGGGCTGGTTACTGCCTCAGGCTGAGGGCCTGGCCCATGAGCTTCCTGGCAGCCAGAGTGGAACACTAAGGGGCAGGAAGCCTGCACAGGGGCAGGCAGCCTGCACTGAGTATGGTCTGGGGATCCCAGCTAGTGGGGCAGCAGGGACCAGCTTCCCACTTCAGCCCAAGGCCCAAGCAGTCCATTTCCCTGGGAGAACACCTGGCACTCTGGCTCTGAGCACACCCAACAAGAGTCCTGTCTGGACGCACCTTCAATTCTTTGTCCCCAGAAGGAGGGGCTCCAGGCAGGGTCCTGGAGGAGGAATAGGTATTTGAGTGAAGTGCTGCGGACCCCCAGGGGCCTTGGCCAGGTGGGTCAGTGGGGAGGTGGTGGGTGGGGCTGTAGGCTAGGCTGTGGCCTTATACGAGTCTCTCCTACCTCAGGCCGACTGGACCCTGCCAGCAGCTGCAGTCGTTCCCGGGCCAGGTGCGTCCCTGGGGCTGGGCAGGTCGGGACTCCCTGCTTACCTCTGGGCTCATGAATCTCTCCCTGTGCACAGCCGGGCTGTCCAGCGCAGCCTGGCCATCATCCGGCAGGCAAGGCAGAAGAAGGAGAAGAAGAGAGAGTACTGCATGTATTACAACCGCTTTGGCAGGTGTAACCGCGGCGAGCACTGCCCCTACATCCACGACCCTGAGAAAGTGGCTGTGTGCACCAGGTGCTCTACCCAGCTCTCTGGACTTGGGAGGGTCTGCGAGGGGTCTCTGCCTCATCCCCACTAGCCCTCCTCAACCTCTCCCTGTCCCATGCCACAGATTTGTCCGGGGCACATGCAAGAAGACGGATGGGACCTGCCCCTTCTCCCACCATGTGTCCAAGGAGAAGGTGAGGTTGTCTGGCTGGCAGGCCTGCTCTCCCTGAGCCTCTGGGCAGGTGGTGCGGCATGGTTTTTCCTGGGCTTGAGACAGCAGCCCCCACCCAGTGTCTATGAGGTGCCAGTGTGCCCCTGTGGCTTGTCCCTCCATCCCCATGTCTGGCAGTGCTACAGCTGCCGCTTACTCCAGCTCAAGGCAGCATCAGTCTGGGGACCCCATACGGGGGTCTCCCTTCTCTTTTCTTCCAGCACCCAATCTTGTCAGACACTGGGCCCCCCATTGAGGCCAGGTTCCTTCCCACCTCTACTGCATGCACAGGGGAGGATGCCTATAGGGTGCAGGACCAAGGCCTCACTTGCATCCTTAGGCCTGGGTTTGGCCAGGAGCAGGTGTCCTGAGATCCCTGCTGCAGTCTGTGGAATGCTGTGGGTGGAATGGGTCAGGAGGAAAGGTATAGCGATGCAGCCAAGGCCGAGATGGTCCAGGTGTGCCAGGCATGACCCAAGACTTGATCTGAGCCCAGAAAGGTCCTCTGACTGAAAGGGCTGAGAGCACTGTGGTTAGTGCCCCAGGCACATGGAGCTGGGACAGGAAACCAGGTGGCCTCACCCCATGCCTGAGGCTTACCCACTGGGCCCTGGCCATGGGACTGGGGAAGGGCTGGGCACAGCATGAGTGAGCAGGCGGCGAGGCCCGCTGCTGCTCTGACAGCTTTTCCCCTTGAGGAGCTTGGAGAGAATCAGCATTTTTCTCCCTAATCGAGCTTCGAAACTCTGTCGTGAGCAATTTGGAAATTCACGTCGAGTTTCGGGTTCATTAAGCACCAGCTCCAAAGCCAGCGCACACTCCAAGCTGTCTAATGTGTGGGCCGCACCAGCGCCCTGAGTTAATGTTATTGTTATTTGTGTGGACGTGGTGGGGTGCAAACAAGGTTAATTGAAATGAGAACGCAGTTTCCTCTTAGTAACGGCCCCGCGCTGACAGCCAGGAGGAGCTCCGTTTGGTGCAAGAGTTGGCTTTATTATCCCTTTTTATTAGAGCTAATTTGGGCTCTATATCAAAAACCACATTAAGGGAATTGTCTACAGCCGCACCACCGCCAGCCCCAAACGGGGCCCCCAGCCCCTCTTCCCCTCTGCGGCTGCAGTTAAAAGACAATTAAAAATAAACTCTTGCTCGGTAAATCACCCTTTGTTTCTTTGATTTCTCCCTCCTTCCCACTCAGCTCCAAGGCTACTGCCCCAGCCTCTTCCTCCCACCTCTGCCTCAGACAGGTTCTCGCCCTTTCCCTCCCACTTGACCCCAGAAAAGTGACTTTCAAGCCTCTGGTGCCTGGAACTGGATTGGGGAGTGCATGCAGGGAAGTACAGTGTGAGAGATGCGTGACCCCCCTGGGGGCTGGAGAGGCCTGTGGGGACTCTGCATGAGCCCCATGTGGAGCCAGAATGGTGACATTGCCCCCCCACCCCCATTCACCCAGACTGTCCAGGAAGGAGCTGGTGGCTGACCCTCAGGAGGGTTAAGGAGAGAAGTGCCTGGAAAATTCGGAGACACAACCCCCTTCCATCCCTGAGTGGCCCCAGCCCAGGTCCTGCCCCTTAGTTTTCCCCATTGGGAGGAGTAGGTTGCATTTCTTTTCTCTCCCAGGTAGATATGGTGGTAACAAAAAGCAACCAGAGCCAGTGGTCACTGTGGTTGCAGTTCTGTGTTGGGCAAGGAAGAGGGGGTATTGGGCTGCTGGGCCACATAATCAGCCAGGCCTGTCTGCCCACAGCAGCCAGGGTAGCTCCAGGCTGCCACTCCAGGCCCCCAGGTCTCTCCGTGGCCCCTCCTGCCCATGGGCCAGGCCTCAGTGCCTGTTCCAGCCTACTCCAAGCACAGGTCAGGTGGCCAGAGAGTCCTGGGCTGTTTGTCCTATCCTGAGACTGCCCCACCTAGACTGTGGCCCCAGGACAGATCATTGGTAGGGGAGCCTTAGCTGTCACCCTTCCCCTCTTAGCACTGGACGCTGGCTAGGCTCAGAGCCATGAGGAACTTGGTTGAAAGAGCATATCTGGGCCCAAGCCACTGCTGTAGGCTACTCAGCTCCATGTCCACATCTGGGCAGAGAAGGCAGATGTTAGGTCACCTGGAAAGCAGGCAGCCCCCACCTCTCAGCTCCAGCTGGCTAGCACTGACATCCATTTCTCCCTTAAGAAGGCTGTGGTGAGCTGTGGTGAGGCTCTCCAGGCAGAGTCTTTGCAGCTGCTGCCCAGCCAGTGGGTTCCCTTTGAGTTCTGGTGTTCCTGTTTGGTTTTTTGGTGTTTTTTGTTTGTTTCTTTCTTTTGTTTTTTTGAGACAGGGCTGTGTAGCCCAGGTCGTCCTGCAACTTACCATCCTCCTGCCTTAGTCTCTCAAGTGCTGGGATTATAGGCATGTAGCACCATGCCTGGCTACCTGGTATTCCTATTTGTAAAGCTGGCTGTGGATGCTGGGGTGCAGGCCTGCTGGCCCTCACCACCTGCCCTCTGCCCTCCCTTTCTCTCTCCCTCTCTCCCACAGATGCCCGTGTGCTCCTACTTCCTGAAGGGGATCTGCAGCAACAGCAACTGTCCTTACAGCCATGTGTATGTGTCCCGCAAGGCGGAGGTCTGCAGGGACTTCCTTAAAGGCTACTGCCCACTGGGCGCGAAGGTGAGGGGCTGGTGTGAGTACAAGACTCCTCTTAAATGCTCCTCAGCATCTGCTGTGGTGGTCCTGTGGCCCTTCACAGCCATCATGACATCCACCTTAAGGGTGTCTCAGAGGTCCAGCGACTTGCCCATGGGAACCTGGGGCCAGGACAGAATGGAGTTTGAACCAGGAGGACTCAGCTGTTCCCTGAGGGGCAGTAAGAAGTGTGCATTGAAGCCCACCCAACAGCACAGTGGGGGAAGGACTGAAGTTCCTGGGCTGGTAGAGACCCCAGGACACTGTTGTGGGCCGAGAGGCAGTGAGATAGAGGGGCTGTCAGGTTGGGGCTCAGGAGGGCTGAGGTAGACGTGTGGCTGCCAGCCTCCCCGGAATGGCAGGTAGTGGACATGGAGCCCACTCCCACCTCACCTGGGATGGAGAGGCCAACCAACAAGGCTGGTGTAAGCTGGCCTGGAGCCCATTGAAGGCAGTGCTATGTGGGGGTTAGGGGACTGGGAGAAGGAGGCTGCCTATCATGTCCCTGGGTGAGTGACCTGCTTGATGTCCCAGGTGCTTGAGGCTGCCTATTTGGTTTCCCAGGTAGCTAAGACCTGCCTGCAGGGCAGTGCAGAGAAACTGCCCACAGCTGCTCCAGCATAGCTTCCTCTTCTTACCATCTTCCCAACTGCTGGGGGCACAGGGATAGGAGAGTCTGCAGGCCTGGCCCAGTGTGACCTCTTCCCCCAGTCTTCCATATCTATGTTCTTATGCCTGGGCTGGTGACCCCTGGAGAGTACTTTTTAGTCCCTGGCCCCCTGAGAAGTAGCCATGAGACACAGCCCAGGGACCTATGGCAATTCCCACTGCTGCTTCAGGAGCCCACAAACTCAAAGGGGTACCCCCAGGAAGTTGAGGTCACCAGACAGTGCAGGGCCAGCCCCTAATAACCCTTAAGGCCTAGGTGGTAGTCTTAGCCCTCTCTTACTGCTTCACACTGTAGGGACCATGTAGAAGCACAGCCCTGTGTGCCCTGCCTACCGCTGCCACAGCCCTCTACAGTTGGCCAAGTCCTTCCAACTTCCTGTCTCATCCTGACCACCCACCAAGGTGGCCTGACACTCCTTTCAGGGAGAGCACAAGGAAGTGGTGCCTGGAGCCAGCCCCCTGCCTCCTGCTGGTGCTCCACGACTGGCAACATGAGGCTTGACAGGTGTTGGCTAGTCACCTTGAAGGGCTTGAGGGCCCTGGCAGGGAAGCCCTTCAGGGGAGACGGCCTGGCTGGGGCAGCTCCAGGAGCTGGCCCAGGTGGGGGACAGGACCCCCACGGAGGCCATGGACAATTATTGTGAAATATTCCAATTTAAATGAAAATATCAAAGCAGTAGTTAAGTCCTGCTTGTATTAGAGGAAGTGCTTACTGCGTCCCTTTCGGTGTGTCAGCGCGGCGTGGCTGCTGCATGATGGATAGCAGCTTGTAATTATATATGGGAAAGCGCTGAGCAGGCCAGATCCAGTGGGGGAGGCAGCAGCCTGGGCCTGTGAGGGTTAATTTTATTCTCTAAATAATATAAAAAGTGCTGAGTTGTCACCTTGCGCCCGAAGTAGAAGTCCTCAAATGGGCCCCAGAGAGTTTACGATATTCCACTGAATCAAGTGAAATTGTTAACCTTGCTTCATAAAGCCATGGCTTGTTAAAGAGGCACATCCCTTTCCTTCTGAATAATTTAGGCTGGGAGTAAATCTCTGCTCCTTCCCTTTCTGGGGCCCAGGGCAGCTTCAAGCCTGCTGTGCAGAGGTCAGCACCAGGCCCCAGGCCAGCTGTCCTGCCCCTCCTGGACCTGAGGGCCGCTTGTTTTGTGGGATGCTTCTCACCCTAGGGGTCTGACAGGTCCTGCAGTTAGAGTTGGAAGTAGCAGGTGTGTGCTGTGTTTTTCCTTGACTTCTGGCACTAACCTCAGGCTCACTTTGATCACTGATGGATATGCTGCCAGCTAAGCCTCTCCACCCATCTCCTTCCTGGTAATTCACACTCTGTACACGGTGCCTCCAGGGCACAGAGTTGGGTTGTCTGTGTGCACACATGTATGTGTTCCATTCCACTTACTCCACCTCCATGCCTCCTGCCTGGGCTCAGGTCCATCCCCAGACCCCTAGCTGACAGTCAGGTTTCAGCTTCCAGTGCTGCTCCTCCACTGTCCTCACCCTCTTGGCTGCAGAAGCCTCCTGAGTCCTCTGACAGCACCCTTCTTGGTTTCCCTGCCCCCCACCATGTGTTACTTTGCCAATGGGGACCCTTCATTTGGCCCAAGCCCTCATTTTCTTTGTGGTGTGCAGTCCCTCCATTTCCTGTGGTTTGTGCTGTGGGCCTGTCCCCACCCAGGGTCACAGAGCTCCCACATCTGCTTTTGGCTTCACTGGCTGTGGTCAGGTGGCTGTGGGTGAGGGGTTGAACCCCAGTTCAGCCTGCCCTGCCACCTGTACAGGTCACAACACCCTTAGGGATGTTTCCTTTCATGTAAAATTTAGATATGGGGGCTGTGACGATGAGAAGGTCTGTGTGATGACTTGCAACCTTTAGTACAGGTCACCACACCCTTGCCGGGGAGCTGCTGTTGATTTGCAGGTCATGTGAGGGCTCACTCTGCATTTCTTCTTGGACTGAGCTAATTTCTGCAAACTACCTCTGACCTGTCCTCTTTCCCACTGATACTGGTGGCCCTTAGAAGAGACAGTAGACAGTTTTATGAGATATAGTTCACACACCATAGAGGCACCCATTTGAGTGCTTCAATGACTTGGCACAGTGCCTTTTTTTTTTTTCATATAAAAAAATGACAAAATTTACCATTTTAATCTTTTATTTATTTTTTTGGTGGGACTGGGGTTTGACCTCAGGGCTCCACACTTGCAAAGTAGGCACACTACTGCTTGAGCCACACCTCCAGTCCATTTTGCTCTGGTTATTTTGGAGATGGGGTCTGGAGAACCTTGATTCTTCCAGCCTCAGCCTCCTAAGTGAGCCACTGGCACCTGCTAGGATTTTTTTTTTTTATGGTACTGTGGTTTGAACTCAGAGCATACACCTTTAGGCACTCTGCCAGCCTTTTTTTTTTGTGAAGGGTTTTTTGAGATAGTGTCTCACAAACTCTTTGCCCGGCCTGGCTTCGAACTTTGATCCTCCTGATCTCTGCCTCCTGAGTAGCTGGGATTACAGGCGTGAGCGACTAGTGCCTGGTTTAAGATTTTTTAAATATATAAGATCATGCCATCTGCGCACAGATAATTTTACTTCTTCCATTTCAATTTGGACTCCCCTAGTTCTGGCTAGAACTTGACCACTATGTGAGCAGCACTGGCAAAAGTGGGCATCCTGGATTTGTTCCTTATCTTAGGAAAAACTTTTGATTTTCACCATTGAACATGGTGCTAGTCTTGAGCTCCTCACCTATTGTCTCCATGTCAAAGATGCTCCCTTCTAGCCCAAGTTTGCTGGGTGCATTTCTCCCCAAGGGGTGTTGCGTTCAGTCACACCTCTGTACATCAATTGAGATGACCTTTCTGCTCATTTTCTTCCCTTGTTGTTTAAGGTGCTCAGTCAGCGACACTGACCACACTGAATGATGACCAGTTCTATTCACACTTGTGTGTTAAACCGTGCTTGCATTCCAGGAATAAGTCGCATGGCTCATGATACATAGTCCTTTTAATACACTGCAGAATTTGGTTTTCAAGCATTTTATTGAGAACTTTATCCTCGTAAAGGATAGGGGCCTGTACTTTCCCTTTCTTATACTGCCTTCCTCTGGTTTCGGTGTCAGGGTAATGCTCACTTGTAGAAAGAAATAGGCCTTTCTTTCCAGTTTTTGGAGTTTGAGAGAAATTGGTGCTAATTCTTCTTCAGATGAGTTAGTAGCAGTCTCTCACCAGTGAAGCCTCTGGTGTTGGCTTCTCTTTCTTTTTTTTTTTTTTTTGGCACTACTGGGGTTTGAACGTAGGGTTCTTGCTTGCTAGGCAAGCATTCTTACCTCTTGAGCCACTCTGCCAGCTCTTGGGCTTCTCTTGGGATGTTTTTTGATGACTGCTTTATCTCTACTTCCTCCATAGGTCTGTTCAGATTTTCCACTCTACCTTAGTAAGTGTATTTCAAGGAATTGGTTCTTTTCATCTAAGTTGTCAAATTTATGTGTCTAGAATTATTTGAAGTATTTCATAATTATTCTTTTGATGTCTACAGGGTCTGTAATGATTCTCATTTCATTCCTAATACTGGAGATTTGCGGCTTTTCTTTTTTTCATTGTCTGTTTTGCTAGAGGTTTGTCAGTTTCATTGATCTTGTTAAAGAACCAGCTCTTTGTTTCATTGATTTCTCTGTTATTTCACCACTTTCTGTTCTTTTTAGTATTTATTATTTCTGCTAACTTGAGGTTTAATTTCTTTTTTTCCCCTCCTCTAAGTTTTTTTTTTTATTTCCTTTTTTTTTTTTTTTCCCTCATACCTAAAAGGAGTTGATCCTTTAGGGGAGCTTAGATTATTGATTTGAAATTTTTTCTTTTTTCTTACTCAATTCAGTAAGGGATAACCACAAATTTTGGTTTTCTACTATTATGTAAGAACATTAGGCCCCAACAACCCATCACTGGGTAAGGAAGACTTGGAAAAAAAAAAGGTGTTTCTTCTGTGGTGGGGTGGAGCATTGTGCAAATATTGAGTGTATCTTGCTGGTTAAAGGTGTTTTTAAGTTGTATGTCCTTTCTGATGTTGTCTGCATTTAGGTGTTGAAGTCTACAATGTCATCATGGATTCATCTCTCTCCTCTCCAGAAGGCACTCAACTTGTGCCCAGTCTCCAGCCCTTCACAGCTCTTTTGCTTGAGGCATACACATTTAGAATTGACATGTCTTTTTGGTAGATTGACCCTTTATTATTATTTAATGACCTTTGTCTTCACTAATGTTCTTTGTTCTGAAGTCACCTTTTTAGATTGGGTTGTAGTCACTCCTGTGCTTTTGGATCAACTTTG